AGCCCAAACTTGAGGTCTTGACTATTATTCTCACTGCTAGTAGAAACTCTGTACCTCTGCAGCCTCTGTGGTACAATCCTACTTAGTCAGATACAGAAGTCCACAAAAAGTATTTGAAGCTTTCGTTCACATAGCTTAGATCAGTAATTGGTTTTACATGCCTATTGTGAAGTGGTGGCTCTTATTGCTTTCAAATAATTAACCTAAAAAGGATTTTAGTAATTTTCTGTATTTACCCTGAATATCTTGCATGCATATTTCTGTAACACTTCAGTCAGCCCCCCAGCACACCATCATCCAATTTGGTTGGCCCAATACAATTGAGATGAATGTTGTTTCCAGTGCTAAGTATAGTATCAAGGAGAATTTAGCCTTTTATTATTAGGAAAGAGAGATCCTGTCACAGGGATTTATGATCACTGAGGGAATGTGAGATTGAACTTCCTGTTTTCCCCACCCCAGAGACGCTGGATTTGAAGAGATGTGACAAAACAGGTCTTGGACAAAGCACAAAAGTGCCCAAGTTTTGTCCAAAAATCTAATAAAGACAAAAAGAAGCTGTGAATGGTGAAATAGATAAAGTACAGTGCAATGATCTGCACGCACACACAGTCCAGCCCCCTATACAGATACTTATTATAAAGGGCAGAGAGATCTGCCCTGGGACTGCTAAGAAACTTTAGAAATGCAGTTTATTTAAAAGCCAGGTGATTCTGCAAAGTATCCTGGAACATCTCTGAAGAATTCTTAAAATGACAGAGGCAGACATCCAACAAATCGGTGAACTAACCCAAATCCATTCCAGCAGCGATGTAATCATCCATTCAAAGAAGCAAACAAGGGAGACCACAAGAACTCAGCCATCAAACACCAAGTTACACCATGTTCAGTGTAGAAAAATAAAGCTATTTAGAACTCAGAAACAAAACTCCATTTCCTAAAAAGTTCAAAAGAACTACTAGACTTCTGATGAAGAAACTGTCATTCACCACGAGAAGTCTGTAATACCGATTGCCAAGTATGCTTCAGAGGTTGAAAGGCAAAAGGAAAGCATATTCAGACAGTGTTGTACAAGAGCAGTAAGCCAACTGCTCTGTGTGTCACACCAGATTCTTCTCTATTTATACGTGGAGGAATAAACACAGCCAGATCTGTGTAGGGTACAGAAGAAGGAAAAGTAGTGAGTAGGTGTGAGGAATAAACACAAGAAATTATTTTCTATGCGCAGTGAACAGAAAACCCAGAAAAAGCTTCAAGCTTCTGTGTCAGTATGATGGTGGGGTAAGAAAATCTGTAATTGTGGGAAGGAGGGGTTTGCAAAACTATTTATGAAGAGGTCAAAAATATTTTATGGCTATGTTGGATAAAGAAATCTTTTATTAAGTAAACAAGCAAAAGAAGGCATTCTGTAAGAACACAGGCTGCTTGATTTACAGAACTTTGATGTAGGTTGACAGAAGGATAAAATAAAATCCTACCCCTAACACAGAGAAAATTGGAGGCAGAAGGGAGGAAGGGAGGGTTTGTTTTGAAAGCATTAACGGGACCAAGATATGAAAGCAAATGGAGAAAACTGAACAAAACACAATGAAAAGATATGCTTTGCAGTGTGCTTAAGAGAGTGACACTGTACTGAAAACCTTAATATTTGTAAATTCTTTAACCTAGTACAAAGGACCCAATCTCAGCTTAGATCATCCAGCCATAGTTTCTGGTAGGAGCTGGTGTTTGATGTTTTGGAGACAGCAGCAATGTATTCTGAATGCAAGTGTTACAAACGTGGAACCTCTCTCCAGAATAACATAATGCTGGTTGTAACAATACTGACTGCAATGCAAAACCTAACTAAGACTATGACACAACCATAATATACTTGGACTCTTAAAATACTTGGACTCTTCTACATGGTTGCAACTGTGCTGAGGGGCAGATAATAATGAACTTGGCTTAATATTCTGAACCTGCCTTAACTATCTTCCACTTGATGAATACAGGCATCTCAACAGATCTCTTCCTCCCAGTACTTCTTCTCAGTCTCTTGCATCTGGAGCGAAACTGGTTTTCACCTGCAAAATAAAGCTTATCCAGCCCCCTTTGTCTCTTCCTTTGCTCTTTCCTCATCTTGTTTGGCTGTAGTCAAAATATTTCACTACTGTCTTGTTATCTTTAATGTTTATTCTCATCTCTGAAACTGGCTTTGAGCTGTTTCCAAAGACTGCTGGAGCGGTAGCAGGGAAGTAGAGGAGCTCTCGGGACCTGTGGACTACTGATAACAGTAGGAGTCATGACCAGTGGATTCTATTTCCATGCTTAAAACTCATGAGCTGTATAATGCTGAATGCATCTCTCAACTGTGCATCTGATTCAGCAGCTGTGAAACAGCAGTAACTGTGTGCAGCCCCTTCATTTACAAGAAATCACGACAATCAATTTAAAGTGTTTCAGTACCACGAGAATAAAGTGGCTACAAAGGAAAAATACACAAAATTAAATTAGAGGTAATTAATACAGTTACCTGTGTTGCCTCCCAGCCCCACTGCCTGTATTTGGGATCATGGGTGAATCTCCACATATACCAGTAGGTCTCAATCACTTCTGGCCTTAGGATATAATACTTCTCATTCTGCCGCACTGCCACCGCCTCTACACCACCATCAAATTTGAATGCTTCTGGGCCCAGCTTTAATGCTGCAGAGGAAAGAAAAAAAAAGTAAAGAAAAGTAAGAAAAATTTATTCCATACCAATCTTTGCAGGAAGGATGGGTAGGAGACTGCTATATCCCAAGCTTGTGAGAAAAACAGAAACTAGCTTGTCTTTAAGCAGTCTCATAAATATTTCCTATTGTTGAGGCCTATAATTTTTCTTATGAATAATTTATCCAATTCCTGTGAGAAAACTACCTATTTTGACAAGACTACAGTAATCCTCTTCAAAACTAATGAATGCTAAGAATATAAACATACTAACATATTCAATTACAGGATAAAATTCAAGTGACCAACACCAGTTCTTTACAAGCAAAAGGAAAAAAAAAAAAGGGTCAACAGAGGTTTTGATGTCCTTTGCTCCCATCTAGCACAGCAGGAAAAGATCTTGGAACTAAACCAGGTAGCACTATCCCAAATAATCTGTATCTTTACCTAAGCTGTTGGTTTAAGGAAGTGCTGCAAGGCCACTGTAACTGATATGCTTCATGCTGTGATTCTCAAGTTTAGGGTTTACAATGAACGGGCAATGAAGTCTTAACTACACTTGAAAATAAATCTCCGAACTATAAGATTCACTATTTCAGCCCTTAAAGGAAGTTGTAAAGGTCCTGTGCCAGCATCTGGAAGACTATTCATATAAAAATGAGGTACCTGTAGAAAAACTGTCTATAATATGAAGTTGCAATCATATATATTATTTTATTATACAGCTACACATTATTCCTCAAATCCAACATGCACTTTTATCTACAGCTGCACCTCACCTTTTGTTTCGGCAGAGAATTTTCAAGGCACTGAACTTTGAAGCTGCACTCCAGCTAATTAACCATGTAATTCCTATGGGCTAGAGGTTCAAATTAGCCATTGTCTCATGGGCCTGAAAGGGGAACCTTAGAATACTACAATGAAAAATGTGAGCAACTCCCAGTGCATGGCCCAGCAGAAAATCTCCAAAAAAAGTTCCTTTATCTTCTTGTTTCAAGGGAGTGTGGTGCTGGATGCCAAAAGAAAAAAGCACCATGTATTTTCAGCCACATACACTCCATCAAAAAACGTTTATGGTACTTCTTTCAAAACAGACCACTTTATCAGTTTCAGTACAAAAATTACACACATTTCACTGCAAAATGATAGGTTAGATACAGAGTTCTACCTATCCAAAATTAAGAATATAAGAATGTCATATTGGAGCAGACGGAGTTCTTTCTGTTTCAGAATTATGTTTCCAACAATGCCAAAAATCAGACATAGATGGGGAAGTGGAAGAACAGGGGCAGCATATGAGATACCTTTTTCTAGCTTTCCTACCAGTCTCTACATTTTTTGAGCTCGAGGCTTCTTCCAAACTAAACATACTTTTTTTATGTGGTCAGTAATTCTTAACAGATTTGTTTCTCAAGTACTTATCTGATGTGCCCTTAAACCTGTGTAAGGCTTAAGCATAGAATACAACCTCTGCTAAGGTTGTCTCCACATCGCTAATACCTGTTTGATGCAGACCCTGAGTGATTTTGCAAATCTGCTGTACCCTACCTACAATGTCCCTTTTCCACATTGAATAATACTATCCAATTCTGCTGTGACTTCAATGGAAACTGTTCCAAGCCTTTAGTTTTTCTTCCTGCCTTTCTCCGCAACTCTTCCAATTCTATTATATCCTTTGTAAAATGAGAGGACCAGCCTGAATACAGCAAATAAAAGTGCAGACAAGATGAATACAGTGACATAATGACATTTTCTATTTTGTTCTTTCTCATTTTTGTTTTTACTGAGCTGACATTTTCATAATCTCAAGAGCAATTTCCCAAATTGTAATGGTCAGTTAACAGCTCATCATTTAATATGTGAGGTTAGGAATAATTTTTTCATAGGTTCTTCACTTCATATTTAACTACACTGAATTTAATTTAGTAATTTATTATGCAATTATTCAACCTCAAAAGGTCCTTGTGTAGTGCTTTCTTTGTTATTACCGGCACATGTACCTTACTGTTCATGGCCTTTTCTGATAACTTATATATGTATATATATTTTATTTATATACATATTAAAATGTAAATATACTATACATTTACACATAGGTGTATTAATATACTGCACTTTTATAAACATCTAACACATAATGTATATAAATACACTATGCATTTTACACATCTATACACATATTTGTATAAACATGTATCAAATATATCAAAGTACCACTGGTCAACCACCATTTATCCATTGCAAGAGCAGACTATTTACCTCTACCCTGTTTGTTATACTATACCCATTTTTTTCCTTCCATGCAGGTACTTTCTGCTTATGCAGCAGCTGCTTAATGTCCCTAACAGGCCTTAGTAAAATACTTCTGAAAAAGCCTTTTGGAAATCAGGTAAACATGACAACTACATTACTCTAGTCTGCCAAAGCAGCTGGATTTCAGGCAGTTCTGGTGATGCATCATCTACAGAAACTGTGATGCCTTCTCTTGCTTGTAGCCTGCTTGTGCATTATTTACTCATACCTATGTCTAATGCTATTGGGCACTACAGGAAATTGTACTACCCAAGGATGGATAACCCCTGCATATTGTGACAATCCCATTGAATTCTTACCTGAAACCAAGGATGTAAAATTAAACACAGCACTTCAACTAACGGCTAACTAAGGAAAAGAAGCTACTATGAACACTATGGTACCTTTCAGGGGAGCATTCTTCTAATCCAAGAATCATCTAAGGACATTTTACAATTCTATAGCAGTCACAATTTAATCCAGATATTTTCATATTAATGGCATTGATAGGCTATAGACTAGTCAGGGAGAGCAGATGAGAAACAGTTTCATATCAAGTGTGAAACTGCAAAACTAAACTAGTTTTAAACTAAACCATTTTAAAAACAGATTTTAACTGACATAAAGCTGACTTGAATAAGAGCTGTATTTAGCACTGCTGAAAATAAGGACAAATCCTCAGACTTCTAGACAAATATTTATATATATAATTTGAGAAATATTGTTGAAAACATTGTTTAATGTTTTGTGTGTTCTTTTAAGACTGCAGTCAATCTACCAATAAATGTTCTGAAAGCAAGAAAGGATTCGTAATTATAATTATACTTTCTAAGCTCAAAATCATATAAAATTTGAGCAATACAACCTCCAAGATACTTTTGAGGTTCTCTAAACCATTCCATCAACATGCATTGTTATGTCATACTTCTCACAAAAACAAGTAATTATTCTCATTTGTTCATCTTTGCCTCTAGCTACTTACTGAGAGTCTTGGAACAGAGTCAGCATCTACTAATACCCTTACAATGTCTCAGCTGAAATCTTAAATCACCTGGCTTATTCTGCACTGGAATTGTCACACCTACAAAAAGAGCTAAAGCTGCATCCAGATTCTGAGGACAGCTCTTGTCAAGAAACTTTAAAGATGTGCAAAAAAGGTCATCCTAAAATAATCTCTCTCTAGTCAGCCAATACTATCAGCTAATAGATAGGAAAATTCTTATGTATAAGGGATGGTATATTTTACCAAAAATACTGTGTGCTATAGATTAGCATGTGTTGCCGTCTATAGAGATAATTTTGCTTATTTATCTAACAATACCTATGAAAGCTGGTTATTCAGATTGATTTGTTAGTCGTCTTTCTACTCTTTCAACTTCATTGGACTTCTTTTTTGTTGCCATTTACAGATTTCTCATTGCCAGTTATTTTATGCCTTTGCCATTTTTCTTTGTCGCACACGTTAAGCATGAAAAACAAAGAACTAATCCTCAGTAACTGGAATACTTCAAGATGTGCAGTCCACATACAAGCTTAAACATCAAGAAAACTTGCACTATGAGCACATGAAGTCGTATTTTTGTAGCCTTACCACTGACAGCATTATGATTTCTTGTGCTGGTACATGGGCATACAGATCAGAGCAGGTCTCTCATCTTTGTTTTTCTCAATCTTCTCTCCAAATTGAGAGCACACTAGACCACAGGAAAATCCTGAAATCTCCTGTCACAGGATGGGAGATTTAGGACGGCTGCAGCAATAATCTACTGATAGGTTATGGTACAAAAAAACCCCAGAGTAGGTAGGACATAGAGGCATGTGTAGATTACACATCATAAGGCTATTCTGGTTACAGTGAAGTTTTCCGACTTTGACCATCAATAAGCCTTTTCAGATCCTTGGTGTTTCCAAAGGGTGCCACATGCATTTACAATTTCCTGAAGAGGTGAAGATCCTCAGGGGTCTCATGCTGTCATGCAAATCCCTTGCTCAGAGGCAAACCAGAATCACAACCGTACCCCCTGCCTTCACCTTCCAAAGACCATCGGCTTCCTCCAGCCAGTGAATTAGAAAGGCATCCTATAAGGAGTGCTACAGACTGATCCTTGGCTTAAGCAGAATCTACAGGAATTTTCAGAGAGCCATGGCAAGGGCCCAAGCTTCTCAGGAAATACCTAGTCGCTTCTCCAGCCTCTGACTCGGGAGTCTAAGGTCTTTTCTCAGATATTCCTGAAGAACATTGACAGGTGACTCAGATCATCAGAGAGACTATGTCCCTGCATAAACTTCTTAATGATGGAAGTGAAATTCTCTCATGGAAGTGATGCCAGTTGTCACTGGGACATAATCCCCATGAAAATACATCAGGAATGGTCTCAAGGGCTTTCCAGCTTCTCTCTACTAATCAGCACTGAAATAACCAGCTTTCTGAAATATCAATTTTTTTTAAACAGGTTTTCATACCTGCAACAAGTGCAATAGGTTGGTAAGACTTGGCAATATAATGCCCTCATTTTCCAGAAGTGTTTTTATTCTGTGAAATTCTGTTTCGGTGTTCCTAAGACTGGACCTTCAAATGGTTTTTTTCTTCCCCTCATGCTCAGCTATGGAAATTTAGTTGCTTCATAAAGTAGTATCTTTATACTAAAACACCGTATCACCAGGTATCATGGCTAGGCTTCTGAATGAAGATTTGGGAAGGGCTCTACCCACGTTTGCCAGAAGTGCACTGGTGGCTAAAAAGGCCAGTATGAGATAAGACACGTCCGGTTGCAAAAGGCACAGCAAAAAGACTCCTTAGGAGGTATATTCTGCAAGGCACAATTCTTTCTGCGTTGTCTTTTCTCCTCAAGGGTGATCCTGCGTGCTTTCTCAAAAGCATCAGCAGCGCTATAGATGGTGTGTCTCCAGACCTCCCGATTGGAGGCCAGAGTAGACCAGTGATGAAGATCAATATGGTCAAGGCTGAGATATTGTTTCAGAGAGTCCTTGTATCTTCTCTTCGGGGTTCCTCTCTTGCGGCAGCCAGTGGCAAGTTCACCATAAAGCAAGATCTTAGGGAGGCGGTGGTCCTTCATCCTTGAGACGTGTCCTGCCCAACGCAGCTGTGTTCTCAACAACATGGCCTCAATGCTTGTAACTGCTGCTTGTTCTAGAACAGACGTGTTAGTCACATAATCTGACCAGTGAATGTTTAGGATTGTACGGAGGCAGCGTTGATGGAAGCGTTCTAAGAGTCGCAGGTGATGGCAGTAGATGACCCATGATTCAGATCCATATAAAAGAGTAGACGCACAATGGCTCTGTAAACACTGATCTTTGTACTTTCCTTGAAGTGTTTATTTCACCAAACTCTTTTATGAAGCTTTCTGAAGGCACTGTACGCCTTTGCTAACCTGTTGTCTATCTCTCTGTCAATCTTACCATCCAAGGAGATGAGGCTACCCAGGTAACTAAACATGATCACCAGGTATATACTGCAGTTTATTATAAGCATCCTAGGAAGACACAGGAAAGGACAGGTCTAGTTGGTTTCTCTACAGAAAAGATCTGCCTATCCCCAGCACAGTCTCAGCACCTTTCTGTCTCGTCTGGGGATGCCAAATTGGGTAAGAGTTCTCCCAAGTCCATAGGAAAAACAGATCGGCTCTCCCCTTTGCTGGCTGAAACGTAAACCTATCAGCTGAACCAGGATTTCCCTCTGAAAGAGGTTTTTTTCTGCAATCATCTACTTCTGTCATTAAAGTGTACAATTAAGTCTCAAATCCTGCTGTTAAAGCATAATGAAGAAGTTGACATTTTGCACATGTAAGTTCTTTATTTTCTTTGAAAAATCAGTCCAGAAAATATAAACCAAAACACCCAAACAAAAACAATCCACATTCCTGGGACTGCATGACTGAACAAAAGAAAATGAAGGCATTGCAAATTTATAGCTGTCTTTATAACTTTCAGTCTTGCTTGCATGTGTGTTCCTATACAGTCATTAAATATGTAATCAAAACTTTTATCTCCCCCATCTTTTGACTTATTTAGGGTACAGAATAAGCATCTGAAGGAATAAAATTAGGTCTGCTCAAACAACTGTAAATTTAGCATTGCTTATTTTTAAATTTTAAATGTTTAAATTTTAAACATTTAAATGCAATTTCTCAGAATGCAACTACGTCCTTCCTTTGTTCTTAAGCATCCTCATATTTTTTCTTTTTTTTAATGCTGTTGTTACGCAAATAAAATTATCACTTGTGTGACTGAATTATTTAAAAAGACAGGCAACTATACAATGATACAATGGAATCCTCCGAATAAATACATGAATTCTTATCTTAAAATTGCTTGAGTTTTAGTTACCACTACTTCTACTGCGAAGTTATTTCAGCAGCTCACTTCTCTGATGGCTACACATAGCCATTTCCAACCTACATTTATTCATGGTGAGCTTAAAAATCTTGCTCTTGTTACAACTGGGATATTTTATATCTTAAAAAATAACTATTTCTTTTCAGTGTTTACCCTTGAGATGACAATAAATTTGTTCCCTTCTTTGGTATTATTTTTCTAGCCTGAGCAGGCTGATCTGTCTTAATTTCCCAATTGAAAGATACAAGCTCTGTCACTTCAATTATTCTTTTGGTCCTTCTCCTCATTTGTTCTGTTTGAAATTCAGATTTGTACAGAGTATTCTGGGTGACAAATTATACATGCCTTCTAAGGCAGTCTTAACATTATCTAATCTCTGCTGAAAATTCTCCCTCTGATACAGACTAGGACTGCACTGGCATTTTTCAACTCCCAGTTCAGAGAAAGAGCTCCTGCCTTTTTCTAGTGAATTTATTTCTGACAGTCCAGTTCTCAAAATCTTCCTGCTTACTGTTCTGAGACTCTTCCATTTTAATTATGTCTTACAACTTTGTAGTCACTCTAAGTGCAATCAGCACACTTCAACTTTATGCATCAAGGTTACTACTAAAGACATAAAACAAACCTGGTCCAAAAGACTGACCTTGAGAAACTTCCAGCCCAACAAGGAAGTCTGATATTGCCTCCTCACTAGTCAAGTCTTTGGCCTTCTCAGTCTGTATA